AACTAATTGAAACAGACAACATCCGGATTGGATTAAATAATATTGATATTGCGATTTCTCAGTTTTCGGGGTCACTCATGTAGCAACCACTGCTAGTTTTACCGTATTTTACGTCCAAATATCTATACAGTCAAAGTATTTGTTTGTCACTGTTCAGTAACTTTATCATGGTGCCCCTGCTCCTAGATGGATGTTTTAGCAGAGAGTGTCACAATTCACAGCCCACAGTACTTGCTACATGAAGTGCGTGTACCTCTCCGCCTGTTAAATTATAGTAGTCTCAGGCTCGCGGCGGGCTGGAGTGCGTTTTCTGAGATAACCCACAAATCTTTTATGCCAAACAATAGCTGCTCAAGCGGCATTTGAGGTGAACCAAGTCTCCACACCTTAAACATAACTATGTTATTATGTTATTTGCCTATTACTATGTAACGGATGGTAATTTTTGAAACAGGTACGCCATATAACCTGTTGCTAAAAGCCCTAACTTGAGTTGTTACAAAGGAAATGTACATTTAGTTGACGCTTACATTGCGTAAAATTTGTGCTGTTGTGTACAACCTATCGTTTACTATTGCAGAGCGTTAGTAGTATGTTGTTGCCACTAGCTTTCCTTCGCTGTGTGCGCGCTTTGAAATCGTGAGGTTTTGTACAACTACGAGGGTACTACAATATGTATTCTAAATATTTACTTCGACGAGGACGGAACATAATTACCTGATCAAACAAACTTATCTGTAAGTGATGTTCGATCTTAATTATGTGAAGTCCTCGTCGAAGTGAATAGCTCCCTCCTTCCCTATGTATCACCGAATTGTTGAAACAACTTGGCTTTGAAGAAAATGAATTTTTATGAGCGGCCAGAGGGAAGGAAGTTAGGGGGAAGGGACGCGGTGCCGCTTTTATTCGCTGCGTGCGCGCTTTGAGATCGTGGGGGTTGGGTATTACTACGAGGGCACTATAATAAGTATTTTAAATATTTACTTCGACGAGGACGGAACATAATTACCTGATCAAACAAACTTATCTGTAAGTGATGTTCGATCTTAATTATGTGAAGTCCTCGTCGAAGTGAATAGCTCCCTCCTTCCCTATGTATCACCGAATTGTTCAAACAACTTGGCTTTGAAGAAAATGAATTTTTATGAGCGGCCAGAGGGAAGGAAGTTAGGGGGAAGGGACGCGGTGCCGCTTTTATTCGCTGCGTGCGCGCTTTGAGATCGTGGGGGTTGGGCACTATAATAAGTATTTTAAATATTTACTTCGACGAGGACTTCACGTAATTAAGATCGAACATCACTTACAGGTAAGTTCGTTTGATCATGTGATTATTTTTTGAGATTCAATATAGATGTTACAGTTATTCTTCAGAGTTTCGTTGTTGAGCTTAGATTTATGACATAGTTGTTGTTTTCTCAGTTTTCAAATCGGTGTAACAAGTACAAGAATACAGGGCTGACAATATTCACGTGTAGTGCAGAAGCTCTGTGATTTAAACGAATTCAATATAGCAACATAAATAGGCACACATGCGGGAAGAGATGCGGGACGTGGTATTCGACTTTTAGCATAGATCGACGCATTTTCTAGACAGGCTACAGGTGCGCAGCTAAACAAATCTCGTAAATGTCTATTTCCAATTTAGGCGTTCATCTCAAGCGGCCTGTAGACGTTCAATATTATTGTGCAATATTTTGGTTTATGCAATATAATTGATTGTATGTGGGCAATATTGAAAGGTTGTGCAATATATTGTATGGTGTCGTGAAAATATATTGTGCAAACGGGAATATATTGTGCCGTCTGTTAGCAACATTGCGCAATATCCCATCAGTTAGTCTCAATTCATTCGAATGAGGAGTTCATCAAATAATTCAGGGTGCATTCTTCAAAAGTTGCGGAAATCATTTGGTTCAACTATTCTCAGTTCATGGAGTAATGTTTCGTGGGTGTACTTTTTCCTGTCAATAAATCTAAGCCTTTTTTCTTTTATTTTTTTGAACTTGCGGCCACAGCAATTACCACGCAATACAAGTCATTTTCATGCAACATGTAAGTGCATGGAATTCTGACGAGGGCTGTTTGCACAATGCGGTTTTACGTCTGTGCTCACGATTGCGCCATATGCAGGATGCCCAATAAGTACCACGACAAACTTGAGGAGAAGGTAGGCTTTGAACTGACCTCCCAAATAACAAAAACTTACCTACTCGTATATAAAAGTGTCACCGTTTTTGAGATATTGAATTCTTTCTTAGATTCTTAAAAAACGAACCTTTTCATCTGTGGTCTTTAGCTGCATGCACAAAAAGGTTATACTATGTTCATTTTTTCTATAAAATACTTCTAGATAGTTGCTTTATCCTATACAAATGCAATGTAGTTAAAAGATATTAAGGAACTATGATCAAATAAGAACTATTTTGGGATTTATAACCTTCTGATCTTTTTTCCTCAACACACAATCTGTGGTGAAACAAAAATGTACTGCGCTATAACTGCATGATATTGAATAAAACGCTTGCTCATTGAATACGGATTTCAGAAAGGCACTACACGTACTATTTGGAATAGAGAAAAATGATAGCTGTTTTTATAAGTGACTGACACACACTACAATGTATTTATTGGATTTAAGTTCAAGTTGCACCGGTTACCGATCAGTGACATGCTAAATAGTACAAGCTACATTATTATTACCTGTGCCTGATATGATTTTATGAAAGTCGAGGAAACAATATCAGAAGGTTATAAATCCCAAAACAGTCCTTATTTTATCATGGTTCCTTAATATCTTTTAACTATATTGCATTTGTATATGATAAAGCACTATCTAGAAGTATTTTATAGAAAAAATGAACAAATTATAATCTTATTTGTATCTGCAGCTAAAGACCATAAATGAAAAGGTTTGTTTTTTGAAATTTAAGAAAAAAATCAATATCTCAAAAACGTTGACACTTTTATATAGGTAGGTTTTTATTATTTGGGAGGTCAGTCCAAAGCTTACCTTCTCCTTAAGTCTGTCGTGGTACTTATTGGACACCCTGTTATTTATTATATGTACAACCTTCAATATCGGCTCCATAAGGTACAGTCTTTTGTACAAACAAAAATATTGTTCAATGATATTGACCGCCTATGGGCCACCGTCAAGATATTGTGCAAGCTACATTGCGCATAAAATATTGAACGTCTACAGGCCGCTTAACATAGTGCTTCGCTGCAACACCAACCTCGAACAACACTTTTCAAATTACTATTGAGCAACAAACAGAACATATATCACTCTTTAAGTGCAATCTGTATAGCTATTATACAGGGTGGGCCATAAGAGTATTGGCGATTTAAATCTTAAATATTTCGTTTTCCAAAATCCGCAGCTTCGGTTTCAAGAGTGCCAAGCAGTCGAAGGAAGTCATTTGAACATTATTTCGAAGACTTAAACATTCCTATCTTTCTACTTTTTGAAAATATATTTACTTTTCCTTTATATTGCGTAGTTATTTTTTAATTGAATATTGTAATTTCCAACAACTTTATGGCCCACCCTGTATTACTCAGACTTAAAATTTTCCACAAGTCACAATACTCGTATATACGTATTAATCGTAAGAATTGTGCTGTAAACGTAAGTGATGTCAAAGACGACTTTTACTTCCTCTAAATCAGGGTTTCCCAAACTTTTTTCTTGTTGAGGCTCCCCGAACTATAAATTATATTCTCATGCTCCCCTTTACTATTTCAATCAATACAAAAAACGCACATTATATAGGTACACAGACTTTTATTTTAATTCTAATAAAGAAACTTTAAAAGTTTAACACGTTAAGAGCCAAGCAAAATATTAGAAAAATGTCCATCCGGCCAAAGCGCCAAAGTCCTGTTTCCAATAATTAATGTGTCTAATCTACCGTCTACGTCAAAAGCTGACACAAGACGGGAACGACATGTACTGAAAAAAAAAGCAAGAAAAATCACATGAAGTCAGATGGTATTATAAATAATGTTATAATAAAAAAAAATAATGGGTGAAATACCAAAATATAAAATTCCAAAAGTTACTACACATTGTGACACTTGTGAAGGAAATCCCCACTTTTGCATTGACTTTTTCGGGACAAGTCATAAATAAATGAAATTATTTTATATTTTGTATCCCTATATCATAACCTACTTTATACATATATACGCATTTTCACTGGAACCTTGTTTGTTTTTGTCAAAGTTGTTGTGTAGCGTACTTCTGTATGGAACAGAAGAAATTTATGATCAGAATCGAGATCCTCGCAAAGTAAAGTAAATAACCGACTGTTCAAAGCGCTGCTTTTGATGTAGTTTACAATCCTTATAGCCGAGTCCAAAGTCTGGCGTAATTTCTGTAGCAATTTTTTTTTTTTATACTCCAACTACCACGAAGGCCTAAGGCCTAAGCACCCATGGGGTACCGTGGGGCTATAGGGGGATACATGGGAAAGGGGGGACGCCACACGGACTCTGGCGAGGGAACACGTGTGCATGCAACATGTACACATTCTGGCTCCGCCTACGAGAACCGCCGGGTGGTACCTCCGCGTTCGACAGTCAGAGACCATCTACCACCTACGGACAATCACAACATCCATAGCCAAGAGAAAAATTTCTCCTGGGACGGGACTCGAACCCGCACAGCGCACGGCGACTGATCAGGAGACCGAAGAGTCTACTACTGCGACCACCGCTGCTGCTTGAGCAATGTTTTGGAAGCCAAAGCCAATGTGTACTAACCATTGCGGGATTTTTTTCCTTGAGCTGTTTAGCTAAGCCCGATCGTACACCTATCATTGCAGGTACGCCATCTGTGCAAAGTCCAATGAGTTTCTTCCAATCCCATCATTTTTTTCAACAAAATTTGATATTGAATTAAATATATCTTCAGATGTAGCACCTGCTGTCAGTACAAAATCTGATATCTCCGCCGATGCCTATTAACTGTGCACAATTAACGATGTCGGTGGATTCATCGCAACTAATGGCAAAAAATGGCGATAATTTTACTTTGTTAATTATTTGTTATTTTATGTCTGCTGCAATGTCATCGATTCTACGCTTGACTGTGTTATTGGAAAGAGAAATATACTTCATTTTTTGCTCTGCATCTTCTCCTAAAATTATCTGCGTCGCTTTTAGGACACATGGTTTTATTACTTCTTGACCAATAGTATGAGGTTTCTTTTGCTTTGCTATCATAAAAGCTATTTGAAGTGAAGCTTTGAGATGCTGCGATACACCTGTGTGATAACTTCTCGATTTATCCAGTTTCATCCGCTTGAGTGATTCTACTTTAGAAGAAAAAACTCTTTCGTCTTCAAAACCAGAGTACCATGTTGTTGCTTCAAATGCCTTTCAAGGCAATTGGGCTTCATGCTATCATTACTTGAAACTTTCATACATATCACACACTGAGGCAATTGTAACCCGTCTTTTTCTATGACGGTAAATCCAAACCTAATCTTCGGAAAAGTTTGTTTCTTTCGCTGTCATTTTGCACCGGTAATAATAAAACAAATAAGTAATAAATAAATAAGCAAAATACTTAGATGTAATTACTAATTACATGCCCATTATTTTATTTTAATAGCGTATAATGTATTCAACAGTATATTGGCCACCGGGAGATTTATATTTTTTGTAGGCAGGTTGACGTTATAATAGTAATTTTAAATACATTTGGAATCAATATTAGGTACTTAAAGTTCGTTGCTTCAAAATTATTTCGCCACGTTGGTTTGACTGTGATGTGGTAAAAAAGTCCCAATGGCCGATCTATGAATGCATCCCCACTCAATCAACCATTTAGTAAATTAAATAAAAATGGTAACTGAAGTTTGTAAATACACAATCTTACCTTTTAATAGTGAGACCCAATAATTTGACACACTCAAACAGATTTCTCAACAAAACATGTACATCGAAACGTCAAATTTTTCGAAAGTTTGTGGGAATGAATGCTACAGATGCTCATCCGCGTGTGGTAGGTACACATTTGTTTTCAAATGCGCTCTCCAGACTCCCGCGCTAAGCCGCGAACTACCCGTGACCCATGAGTGTGGATCCCATTCGCGTACTCTTCGCGGCTTCACCTCGCGTTTGCGAATTGTTCCCGTTTGTTGTCGATATTTTGTCCTCCCGCGACAAAGGGTTCGCAAGGCGTGAACATGACTAGGCTCCACATTCGCTGGTGACTCGGTTTCCTCATAGAGAGTGCAGGAAGTGGTTGTTTTTTCAACTTCTTTTCAATTGTACGCAAAGTAGTCCTGAATGTTAAGTTAAGCGGAGTGCGGCCGGGGTGCGTGCGGATTTCATGTTGTGACTTGTCGAAACTTGTATAGACTGCGATTGACGACGCCGGGTTTTGGAACAGCGGTTGACAGAATAAGTGAATATGATATTTAATTTCTAATTCCCTGATTGTAAATTAAACATTGTATTGTAATGGTATTTGTTAATGTTGTTTGTTTATTATTTTGTTTTTTCTTTCTAAAATGCAAGCGCTTTCCGCCCCCCTTGACATCTCTCTATGCCCCCCTTGGGAGGCGCGCCTCCCTGGTTGGTAACTCCTGCTTTAAATGATCAATTTTGGTCATCTTTCCGGCAACATCGGCGACGCGGAAACGCCACCGCGTACCAGTCCGAAGACTTCACTGAATCATTCAATCGGTAGTAGCGACGGGCGGTATCTACAAAGGGCAACACGAGCTTATGACTCGCTCTTACTGGAAATTCCTCGTTCATGGGGAATAATTATTGCAAGCCCCAATTCGTAACAGGAAGGAGGTTCAGCGAGTTACGCGGACCCCTCGGCTAGAGAGGACACGTTGATTCCTTCAGTGTAGCGCGCGTGCGGTCCAGAACATCTAAAGGTACATTTATACTAGAGTAGATGTCTTATGGGGATTCGGTCTCAAAACTTCCAAAATCCGCCACCAGAGGCGCTGGCGTCGCGCGCCATTGACAGGTTGTTGGACGGAATCTGTATTCATGAGTTGGGGATTCCGCCGCTAGATGGCGCTGTCAAACCAAACGGAATCTGTGTGTCATTGGACACCTGTCATGCGTCATTGGGCATCTCACGCATAGATGGCGTTACACGTCATCTGTCATACGTCATTGGACACCTGTCATTGATGGGTTGAGCATCTCGCGCATAGATGGCGCCGATTTGTTTGGCGCTGTACAAACCAAACGGAATCTATGTGTCATTGGACAGCTGCCATTGATGGGTTGGGCATCTCGCGCATAGATGGCGCCGATGCCGCACCTGTCTGGTGTTGGCGTGGATTACGGGGGGCAACGTGTATACAGGGGTGCATCGAAAAATAGCGGATCGATGGACCGACGGTATATCGTTAAATCGTATATAGCAAGGCGTGACCTAAATAGCGTGGTGGGCTCCTCTGGTCGGTCGGTCGGTCGGTCAGAATGTCTCATAACCTGTATACGATGTACTGTTATTATTATACAGGATGATACCGTTCAAAATGAAAATAGTATAGACATTCTGACAATTATTTCGCAAACCAGAGGTATTTTCAATAAAACTACAATAATACGTTTAATATTTTATTGAAAATAGAAAAAACTACATAGGTAATATGATATTTGAAAACCAGTGGCGTAGACGTTCAACATTTCTCTGGGTACAGGAAAATTGTCCGTTGGTGTGGCATGGATTGGAATCAGCAACAAAGTTTCCAGTAGCACACGGTGTACAATCATACTTGCAAACATCAATAATGTTGGGAAAAACACCAAAAATGTGACATTTCTTGAGTAAAAAGTTTGCTTTCTGTTCTCCACGAACGTAGACATAGTCAGCCGCATATATCACCTTATTTTTAATTATTTCATTTAACTTGGAATATTTAACGTCGCCGGAAGAATATTTAAGCCCATGGAAATTCTTCTCCAAGTAAGCGACAGTTTTCTTGTCTTTAGTATTTAATGTAGAAAAAGGTTGCGGAGGTGTAAAGATGTAATGACTTTTCTTGAAACCAATTTCGATACATAGTTCTTTAGGTACGAATAATCCGTCAACTGTAAAGCCTTGAATGTCAACAAACGCGATCCTCATGATGTCTGATGCGGAACTGAGAGTCCTTCGTTGCTTACGAGATGGTTTTAATAACTTCGGTGAGGGGGAAGTACTCGATTAAGCAGTCATGTATAATGATGCAGTAGGCCTTGGTGTTGGTTGGAAAGCCAGTATCGGCTTCGATATCCAATCTAACATCAACAGTTGATGATTTCATGGTTTCCTCTTGTTTGGAACAGTCAATAACAAACAAAGCGCGATTTTTAAAAGCGGTATAATCTAAAAGACATCTCTTCAGAGGAGAAGAAGAAGTTGTATAGCTGGTTTGAAAGTCGCTATAGTTGAAATGAGCTTCAGTAAAGTGATTGTTTGCAAAGTCCAATTGCATACGTTCGTTGGGATAGTATTCACCATTCAAAGATACTCGAATACTAGCAGCATTCACGTGATCAAACAGGGTCGGGTCTGAGGTTGCGACGTCACGTTTACCGGTTTGGAAACATACTATAATGAAACGTGGTCTTTCGATTGCGGTGCTAGTTTTAACTGACCATATTTCTCTTCTCGCATCTGCGGTAATTGCAGGCAGTTCATTCAGATCCCATTTTCTAAACGGTATAAGTATCGGCTTATCAGTTTGAATAGCTTTCAAAAGTTGTTCTTTCACATCATCACTCGGGTAAATATGTTTGATTTTCAGTTCCATGCTTTCAATAGTTATTTTCGCTGTCGTCGTCGTTCCAGTTTTTTCCTTGATAATGATACAATCGTTATCGTTTCTAGCTCTCACAAATCTGAGAGTTTGTCTGCCACACGTAATCATAGGATAATCATTGAAAATGTTGAAAATATGTTTAAGCGGCATTAGCAAGCTAAAAGACTTGTTATGTGTTGACGCCATTATAGGTGTTGAAGGATAGTTCCATCCAGCTATAGCCATATGATTTGAGTCTTCCTCACTGTAACATACGTAAGCTCGGACAGTACTTACAATACCAGGATCACGTACTGTTTCAACTTCTCTAGCGGATTCACTGTAAGTGCAAGAGTCAAATAGGAAGGCACCAAAGTTTGGAGCTAAAGATACATCTCCTGCTCCTCCTCCTCCAGTTATTTCAACTTTCCCTTTGATAGATAGAAGGGAAGCGTTCATTGCAAAGAACGAATCTACTTGATTGATGCTAAATTCCACAACATCATTACAATTAAATGACTTGATGAACGGCGTATAAGATCTATACTCAGCCTTGCGAATAGATTCATCGAATGCTGGAGATCGATATAGATCAAACATCGGAGAAGTATGTGATGCTGCTGCTGCTGCCTCCTCAGTTTTTCTCTTTTTGTACATGATTCTTGTTGTTGTTGACATGATATCCAAGTGAGCGTAGAAACAGGATATTTGATGTAGTTAGTAGTAGATGTCGTCGCTTAGGTGCTTGGGGTAATACTGAAGTTGCCTTGGAAACACCACTATGTCTTATAATCACTAATCCCATCTGCGCTTCGCTCTCAACTCCAACACAAGAGTACTAGTTTCACCTTGAAAGTTTACAGGACGACCGTCTTGATCTAAAGCCAACACTGTGATGTTGGTTATTTCTTGTTTCGGTATAACAGGTAGATATAGTAAATTTACAGGTGTTTCGACTATAGCGTATCCAGGATCGGCTGTCACAGCAAATTCGTAGATCGTGTGTGCAGGCGTGTCTCCGTCAAAGGCTCCCGACGTAATGTTAGCATCAAAGTGTATGGTTGATACTTTTATTATGTTTACAGGTAAATCAGAAGAATGCTTTTGACCAGGATTAAGAACTTTTTTCGAGAATCCCAATAGATGTCCAAGATTATTCGGTTCTGTAAAAACTATTTTATAATACTTGCTAAAGATTTCACATTGCAGTGTATTATTGTTAGGTTTTAGAGAAAAATAATCATCCGGAGGAGCAACTTCATTTTCAAGATTCATTTGCGTTCGTATAAATGTTTCTATGTCGGTAATTTCATAACAACCTGTCGGAAACTCGATGACTTTTAATTGACCACCACCACCTATCCGGTCGATATAATAAAATTTATCTCCTTTTTCAATATTCGGTATGGAATTGTATGAAGTAAAAGACCTAAGCGCCAATTCATAATCTTTTTTCGGATCCAACACTATCGGTGTTGAAGGACGAAATGAAAATATATGAGTAGTGCTATTGACTCTCAACAACTGCGACATGATGAATGAAAAAATATAGCTGTGTACTAAGCATTTATTCAAGTTTTTTTTTTTGTTTATTTTCGAATGGATAATTTACAGAAATAACAATTTGCTTGAGCAGTAGCCGGTCCATCCCAATGTGTTGTCCAATCAGGTCTGTTGTAGTGAACATAGCATGGAAGTCGTATTTGAAGATCAAAATTGGATGTGTATTCTGCAGGCAGTTTGTGCCATATACTCAATAATTCTGCAGGTCTCACATTGCTTATTAAATATTCCAGCGGCGGAATATTCTTCTCAAACTCTTCTAATGT